TTTTTCTGCTTCATTCGCCGCCTTAATCCGGCGGCAGGATTCATTCTTTCTTTCCTTTCCCGCTAATTTCCTGCGTTTTCGGCAGGAGAAGAGATTTTCCCGCCTCGCAAACCGATTCTCCCCGTACGAGAAAATCCACCGAAATTGTTCCCCGAAGACGACGAAAACGGTTAGCGACAGATGGCAGCACCGTCGCGGCGCCCGAGAAAGCCGTCTTCGTCTGCAGCCGTTTCAGACGAGTCGCACGAAGCTGCGTCCGAAACGTTGCGTCAACATTGACAAAAGGTTGGAATGTTGAGACATGGTTGAAATTGCCACTCCAGCGAAGAATCAACAGCAATAAAATGCCAACTCTTCGCAATAAGCCCATATTCGGCATATAGACATTATTTGCTATTATAAAATTCGTTTGGAGGCGATTAAGTGCAAATTCATTTTTCAAGCTTGCTTTCACCATGGTCTCAATTGTATCATGGATTTTTTATTTATTATCGACAGCAAATGAGTTCTATCAATCGACGCGAGATGGCAGGCAACCGCCGACTCGGCGGTTCTCACCCTGATGCCTCTGGGACGAGTCTCCTGTATTTTCCATCGAAAACCAGATCGTTTCCCATGCACAACTTATGGGAAGGCTTTAGAATACCCGTTTAAAAAGGTAACTGATCCGTGGGAGTCACGAAGCAGACGGCGAAGGAAAACATGACCGCCTCCAACTGACCCGCGGTGCCCTCCATCCTACCAAAGATGCTCTCCTTCCCACCCGCGGTGCCCTCCATATGACCCGCGGTTCTCCCCTTCCTACCCGCGGTGCCCTCCATACGGCCCGCGGGCCCGCATCTGCGGATGTTGTCCTCCAGCGACCTTCCTGCACTTTCCTCTCGCGTCGCTCGCTCAGCACCAGATTTCCTTTCTTCGGGCATATTCGGCGTTTAGACGGCGAGAGCCGGAGGGAACAAAACAAAAAACAAAGAACGGCGCCGTTGAGATGCATGAAAAAAGCTCACCTTCGAGATCCCATTACTCCAGGGTAATAATTAATGGCGGAGATGCGGATATCCGGCTCTCGATCGACCTCGACGACGTGGAAGCGAGAGTCCAGGATGTCTTCGAGCAAGGTCGCGACGGCTCCGAATTCGCTCCACCGAGATGAAATTCTCCCGGAAGAATGGTCGTCGAGACGCAGAATCTTTTGTCCGGTCTTGGGCCGCGTCAAGGCCTTCAGGCGCGTCTGGGAATAATTGATGAATCATTAATTTAAAAATCGTAATTAATAAAAAAAAAGCAATTTCGACGCGAGCATCCACCCGGGGACATCCTCGACCTTCCTCGGCCTTCCATTTCGTTCTTCAGTCCTCAGACGGTGGCTATCCGGTCTGTGCCAACTCCTCGACGGCGACGAAACATGCAACTCGCGATTTAAAAGAATTAAGCCCGATGAAGACGCAAAGAGGGAATGACGCAATCGCCATAAACCAGTTCGGAATGACGGGGCATTTCCTCCTCTTTCTCCCCTCTAATCGATCGTTGGGCAACTGCTCGATGCGGAGTGAAATGTGACGTAACGGACGGAATTCCCGGATGGGGAATTCCTCCCCGCGAGGAAAGGAATCCGGTTCGGATCTCGCGCCTGAGACGCTTAACCGTCGGTTGCGAAAGGCGGCGGTGCGGTGGAGACGGCGGTTTCTTCCTGCAGATCGGGTTTCGCAAGCGCAAATCCCAACGACGTGCAATCCGGAAGCGGATGGAGGGAACCCTCCGTGGATGGAACCCTCGGTTGGTGGAACCCTCGTAATCGCTTTATTTGCTAAATTCGTCCTTTTGCTGAATTCAAAATGGCTCGATCCTCAAGCGTTTTCGATTTCTCGCGTCGGCTTCGGGTGGATTTTTTTTGCTCTATTATTATTTACTTCCGCGACGGAGTGATTTGCTCGAAACGCAGAAACTAGTTGCTCTTTTTTTCCGCAAGACGCAATCGCATGACTTGCAGGATTTTCAGGATTGCACTTAAGAAATCGAAAGTTTGGAGGAATCTGAAAGGAATTCCTCGCCTGCAGACTCGAATCGATTCTGCACGCCAATTTCTCGCGGCCAGGCACGTGCCTGTCGCGACCAAATTTGGAGTTTCCGTCCGACCAACAGGGAAAAAGGCGTTGGAGAAGTCAGGACGTCGCCGATGCAAGGTCGACCCCTGCACCAAGCGCTGCACCGTGCAAAGTCGACCCCTGCACCGAGTGCAGCACCGTGCAGCGGCGGATCGCGCTTATTTGCGCATCGTTTAGATCCAGTTCCCCACCGTGTCGCAACATTGAAGAGTGGAGTACGTGCCTGCATCCGCGATCCACTTGCTCCTTAACCCCCTGCCCCCTTGCCCCCTCCCCCTGCCCCCTTGCCCCCTTCCCCCTCCCCCTCGACATCCGGCTTTGAAGGACAGGATGACCAGCTCACGACGCACTGTACGTGGGCTCCTATCGTTCATTGCTCGTCCTTCACTTGTTTTCGGCTGTTGCAAAGTGTCGAGGACGCGGAACGAAGCGACGGACGGAGGACTCGCAGCGGTTTCGTATCGGCGAAAGCCAGTAAGGAGGAAGAGTTTCCCGGAAACCGATCTCAAGTCGGAGCGCGAGACGCCACGGTCACGTGACTCCTTCATTTTCATGCAGATTTCCCCCGGTCTTTTCCCGCGCCGCGGAGCGAAAACGATCCCAGATCAACTCAGATCCAACGGGCAATCCCTGCGTGAAGACTTCACGGTGACAAAAGAATCCGCGACATTTTCCCTCCGGATTCTCTCGCGCGTCAACGACGCCAGGGCAATTACGAAATTCGCCAGGGCAATTGCAGAAGCGTGCCTGCACTCGAAGGGTCACGGGGATTTTGTAACGGATCCAGTCGGGAGCAGCATTAAAAATAATGGGCGAATTGTTCAGGTTTAATTAATTCAATCACATCACAAATTACTGCGCATGATTTATTACTGGATCCCTTACCAGCTGCTGAATTACCAACTACAAAATTGCATCAACAAATTACGAACGAACTGCACTGAATTATAGTTTAAATTGCCACTAGAAAATTCCAAATTAATAAAAAAAATGCAAATGGATAATTTATCGCATATTATTGATAGGTAATTTCCATTTAATTGAATTCTTCAGCGAAAATGAAAACACATGAAAGTTGGATTCGAATCGGATGAAAGTGAAATCCATTAATTCTTGTCAGACCTTTCTCCGGAATGAAAACAGGAAAACTCGCCCTTTCTTATTTATTGATTTTTTTTTATGGATGAAAAAAAAATCCAGAAACGAGCATTAAAATTTTTTTTTTTTTTTAGCCCTATTTCGTCTCCATGTCGCGTCCGCTGCGGGAAGAAAACATCCGGCTGATTTGGAGAAGACATCCAGTTGGTTTCCTCCCCGGAGAAATGGCTTTCTGCAGGGAGTTGTTCCAACATTGCCCTGCTTCGGCAGGAAGAAAAAGCTTCGAATTTCCCAGATAAAAAATAATAATAATTAAATAATAATATAAAAAATATAAACATAAAATAAATCTGGGAGAAGTGAAACCAGATCTCGCTGATAAAAATGCCGCCAATAAAAAAAAATTATTATTATGAAATTGCGGGAAAAAAAGGAAAAAGGGTTGAGTGACTCTCTGCGGCTTGCGGTCTCGTTTCCTCCCGCAAAAAATCTCTGGAGACTTAAATTCAGCGACGGAGACGAAAAAATTGCGAGATGGACTCTCCGCCGGACGAGTCGCCGCGGAACGCGCAAAAACGCGATAGGGACGTGCTCGGGTCCTCGTTTTTCTCAGAGTGTATGAAAGCGAAACGGCCCTGTGGCCTGTTCCTCGCCTCCGCTAAACTTACTCTAAATCTGATCTTAATCTAATCCAAAAGTGTTAATTCGCCACTGAGAAGAGAAACGACCAACTCCCTTGGTTGTTTTTTTTTTACTACAATTTCAAGTCAAGTTCATACCAAGAAACGGAGAAAGAAATGGACATTGGGTGAAAGATTCCTCGAAAACGAGATAGATGAGGGATAGACCGGCAGAATAGGAGAAAACAGTGAGACGCCACGGTCCGCGGCCGCACGCACCGTGCGTGAAGGGATCCACGAGGCGGCGTGAAGGAGACGAAAATTTGCAAAATTTAAAAATGGGCAAAATTTGTGGGGAAAAAATCAGGTCCGGAGGAACCCGGGTTCCATCTTCGCGTCTCATCGATCCCCCCGCGTTCCGTGCCGTTTTCCCTCCGCCACGCGCCGGTCGAGCCGCGTTCCCATTCCCAAACTTCCACTTTCCGCATCCAACTTCAAACCGACGAAATCAAACTTGGAGGATTTTCGCATGAAAAATGTAAAATTGCATAAGACTAGAAATGTGACAACTGAGAAATGTGACCGGCGCGAGCGAATGAGCATCTTCAATGCCAATCGCAATTGGGCATTACGGGGTCATTCACCTGCAAGGTCCTGCTTCGCCGCGTCTTCGAATCACGTGAGACTCAAGGTCTTCAAATCACCTGAGAAAACGAAGCTCAAGGTCTTTAAATCACCTGAGAAAATGAATATCCAGGCCTTGAATGGAATCGCGGAAGTTTTCCCTCTTCAGTCCAGCCTTGCCCAATGACCTACCGACGCCCTTCCTGCATATTTATACACGCAAAGACGCGAATAATCTCGATGGCAGAAACGTATCACCCGCGTGACGTCACGCGGATGCTTTCTTTCGCACACGTGTTCGCCTCAGACGTTCGATCCGCGGTAAAAAAAAAATTCCGCGCCGCGCGAAACCCCGCATCGAACTCCTCGCCGCATCCGACGAGAAAGCGAAAAGGAAGAAATAAACAGAAACGTCCGAGAAAAAGAAACCAAGTTGCTCAAGAAGGGTGTCAGGGTCAGAGGAAGGTGCAAGGCCACTCCACCCGATAAAGTCAGTCTTATCTTGCACAAGATCCAACCCGGGATTCCCCCCCCCCCCCCCCCCCCCCTCCTCCCCGAAGAAAGTGAAAGTAGGAGGGAGCAGGGAGCCTCCCATATAGGCTCCCCCCGTGTTAGTGTTGTCTGTTAGTGTTGCGAGGCGTGTGCGTGCGAGCTCTCTTCTCCCTCTCTCTCTCTCTCGTTCTCTGTGTGCGTTCACGGTGAGTCTCGACGAAAGGGAAAGTGTCTCGCTGGACGCGGTGGCCGAGGGCTTTCTTTGGCTTTCCGTGGCTTTCGTTTTTCGCTTTCTTCGGCTTTCGTTGTTTTCCGCCTTTCTAAGCCTGAATTTTTTTTTCACGCTCGGGTGCGCGCCGTGCGCCTTCCGCGTATGTCGCGCGCGATTACACCTTTGTCGCAAAAGTATTATTTGTAAAATTATTATATATTAAACTTATATTTGGTCGACTAAACGAAAACTTCACCGGGAACGCTCGTAAGAAATTGAACTTTGTCATCCCGAAATGAAACTTTTAGGTAGGAAAGTTTAGGTTTACTCTGAAATTTTGCACACGCCTTCCCCTTCAGTGACGGGGATCAATTCAGTCCCAATTTTCGTTCTCTCGTGGTTTCGATTGAGATTTGATCAAATCTCGTGCGGTTTTAATTGGAAGTGAGCCGAATCTTTCGTCCTTAAGTTACTTAAGTTCCTGGCCGAGTAAAAAAAAAAAAAGCAAGCAGCTTTTTTTTTTCCCTCTTAAGCTATTGCCTCTAAATCCGTCATTTGCCATTGGGCAATTCGTTGGGAAGTCGGACTTCTGACGCTGCATGACCAATTTTGACCCCACAGATGAACTGCAGGTGGCTGGCGGTGGCCCTGGTGCTGTGTGCGTGTGCGGCCGTGGGCTGGGGCCAGCGGCGGCCGATCCCGCGTCTCCCGTCGCGGTCGCAGATCTGCAGGCTCATGCAGGATCGCAGCTTCGTGCGGCGGCAGGTCCGGTGCGCCCTGGGTCAGCAGGGGGCGTGCGAGAGGATCCCGCAGCTCCAGCGACGGACGGCCACCTTCCTCAGAAGTGCGTTTTCTCCCCATTTTATTTATTAATTAAAAAAGAAAAAAAATATATATATATATAGTAAATAAAAATTCTACTCGAGGTTTTTAAAAGGGGAAAATGCAGAAATTTTCGCGGAACGCGTTATGTTCGCTTCCCGCTCGACCGGCGTCCGATCGGTCCCCATCCAGATTTCCCCCCTTTTTGTCCCATTCTGTTTTGTCACTTGTCAGCGGCAGAAATGGCATTCGCTCGAGCGAGAGAATCTCTGCTAATGGCGTCGCCGTTGAGGCCCATCCACGTCAACTCTGATGCGCTCGGGCCTTCCAACGACGAAGGAAATTTCTGGAAATGGGCTCCCAAGAATTGCCGATACGGAATTCGGACGCAGCCGAAGCCGGTCGTGACCGCTCCTTCTCGTCCGAATGCAAATATTCGGGACGAAATATGAATTTATTTATTATTATTATTATTATTAATTTTTTTATTTGGGGGGGGGGGTCATACTGATTTTCTGAATTTTAAACTCGTTCCGTGTGGCTTGGGGCAAGAGTTAATCGAGCAAACAAGAAAAAAAAATCCAACAAAACGTACGGAAAAACTGATCGCCTTTTACCTTTCCGCGGCTGATGCTTAGTGACTTTTGCAGGGGAAGCACTCGTGAGGAAACTCCGTAGCGATCCGACCCAATCGCAACAAGCGTAAATGGAGCATAAATTGTCCCATTTTTTTTACAATTAATAAATTTAGGGAGTTTATTAATTAGGGTTGTTTCTTGTTCGCGTCCGAATCGGAACGTCGAGGTGTTTGACGGCACGATTTTTGTTCCCCGACAGACGCGATCCCGGCGGCCCTTGGCGTCGGCGAATGCGACTTCTGCACCCGCGACGACCTGCAGAAGGTCCGACTGGTCATGGCCGAGATGAACACGCGATACCCCGAGGAGTCCCAGATGCTTCTGTCGGCCTACGACAACGAGATCAACCAGTTCGCCAACGGGCAGGAGGTGCTGCAGGCGAGGTTGCAACTCCGCGAGGGATGTTGAGCGGCGCGGCCGTGGCGGATGCCGCGGGACGTTGTAGCGTGTGTCGCAGGGATGCCGGATCGTGCTTTTGGGTCTTGCATGATTCGCGCGGCCGGTCGCGTGGGACTCCGCACGGTTTCGAGGTCTTTGTGTGGAATGAGAGATGAAAAGGGAGTGCCGACCGCATGTTCTTTTCACCCTTCTTGTTTCCCCGCAAATTTTTGCAAACTTTCGACCCGCGACTTCTTATCTCTTTGACGACCGGATTTCCCGTTCCGACGCGCTCTTCGCCACGCCGATCCCGGCGTCGAGCCATAAACCGTACCTGACGTCACAAAAAAACCGGTTGTGACTTGAGGTATCGCCTGACACCACGATGTATCCTGTGATCCCGACTCCGAATTCAAAATTCACGAAATCTCCATGTGATTTTTCCGATATGGTTACCAGCCGCCTTCCCTTCCCGTTTGTTAAGCGTTTTAGCGAGTTTAAACGGTTTCTGTTATTTATGGCTGCAGTCTCGAGTGATACGTGACTTAACCCATTTCTTCCCGGTAATTTCTAAAAATTCGGCCTTATCTGTCCCTTTTTTCTAAGCTTGAATTGCGACGACGAATGAAATTGCTGGATTGCTGAGAACATCGAGGAAAAAAAAATATTTTACGGAAATATCTTCCAAAATGGAAAATTTGACTATTTTTTTGTGCAAACATTTGCTACTTGTGCTTCTTGGATGAGTGTGATCCCTGTTTCCCATTCGCTTCCCCTTTCCATAGTTACATTGGTGCCATGCAAACGAATGTCTGGTGGTCATCATAAAGTCACTTTCTCTGGTCTCCCTGTGTCCTCAATCTTTTTTTTTTATCATGCCACGGATTCATCGAACACGAATACATTCGCGACGAAAAAAAAAAAAAGTGGCGAATGCGAGCCGGTCAACTTTCGCGCACGAGACGCGAGGGCGGGCCAATTAGGGCCAGCGACAATGATTCCTCGGAGATAGCACATCTGGCGGAAAGGATCATCCGCAAATGACCCATCCGGAAAGGAGTTGGAAAAGGGCAGATGAAAAAATGGTGGAGTGAGATCCCCGAATGCCCTCGGGGCGTGACGCAATCCGTTGCGAAAACGGAGCAACCTTCGACGGGGGAGGGAGAAAGTGCTCTCGCGCGCGGGGTCTCGGTACTTCTCGGTACCGTTCGGTACTACTTGGTATCGCTCGGTGGAGGTTCAAGCGGTCTGGGGGAAAGGGATTGGTATGTTTCCAAGGGGGAATGGCCCTGGAAGATTGCGGGGCATCGATAGAGCCATTAAGATGGCGATAAATCAGACGAGACCCATTAAAAGCAACGCCGCTGCCTCGGATTTTTCTTCCATCTCATCATCGCCCTTCTCCTGATGACCACAACAAGTGTTGCCCCTCTTTTGCCCATCCTTTGCCCCTCTTTTGCCCATCCTTTGCCCCCCTTTTGCCCCCTTTCCCTCCGACGATGGGGGATTCCTCGAAGCGGGAGAACAATGGCACGGACACAAAAAGGAGGGAGGCCTTCTGAGGCCATCCATTGGACGGATGTCAAAGGCTAACGCCGGCCATTATAAATCACTCTCGTCCGGCCAGAGTCCCATTTTTTAGCTCATATCTTCTCCTTCCCTTTCCGCCTGGCCATTAGACGCGCCCGCAATTCCGTTCGCGCCCTTTTTTTTCCTCGGAAAAATTTTTTTTTTGGCCTGGAGGCGATGACGTCTCGTCGCTCGTGCGATTCCTGGAACCTCGAATGTTGACGCAACGAAGATGTTGCCACCTGTGAGCCACCTCTGCTCGTGTCGCGGAAGCGAAGCAAAAAAAAAAAGTCTCTCGTCTGCCGAGGATGAATCTCGCGGTTTATTTATTTAGGTCTGTTATTATTATCACGCCATTATATATATTGTAGATTATTCATAGCGGTCGATCGGCAGACGCCAATATCAGAATCTCGCGTGTGACGTCATCGAATAAGAAAAAAAAATACAATTTCGGTTTATGTCCTCATATTCCGGCCGTAAAACCCGCAACTGCCCGACCCAGAAACCCGAAACGTTCCGCGGAGCCCGTTGCGCCCCGACCTTCGCGCAGATCCCACCAGATGTCTCTGTGAGCGAATAACTTTGCGGCTTCGTTCTCTCGACCGCGGAATGAGGGACTTTGTCGCGACCCATTCGCGGCGTATTTTCGCTTTTCGGCCTGCATTTTTCATGATGTCGTGACTGGTTCGGTCCCATCCCCCCTATCCGTACCGTAACTAAATCACCGAAGTCCGGATATTAAGATGCTACTTTGATATGGACGGGTTGAAGTCGAAGACGTTGACTGACCTTTTTATTTACATTTCTTTTTTTTTTTAACTGAAATAGGCCGCCATCTTCGCGTGGAAAATAATGCTCGAGAACGTCGCTAAAAAAAAAAAGAATTCGGATTTGGATCATTAATCGGCGGTTCCCACGCAATTCATCGAGTAACTTCAACGTTTGATTACACCGTGATCACATCCGCATTATCCGTCTGAGATTTGTTGCCATGATTAGTTGCCGCGGCCTCCCTCGTTGCTTCCTCCTCGCAACCGAATGAAGCGAAAGAAGCGAATGAAGCGAAGGAAGCGAAGGAAGCGAAGGAAGCGAAGGAAGCGAAGGAAGCGAAGAAATGTCGCAACGGCAAAAGGAGACGAGAAAGACCGAGAAGGGAAGTGAGACGCATCCATATCCGAGAGAAAGTCCGTCTCCTTTCTTCCTCCCCCCCCCCCCCCCCCCTTCTCCCCTCCCCCCTCCCCCCTCCCCCCACGGAGTAGTATATTGTCTGGATGGAAGAAGGAGATGGAGGCGATGAGCCGGAAACAGTCGTCGGTCGACACGGGGGGATACACGGCCTTTCCCCTCCTATCTTTCCGCATCCCCCCCCCCCGACTTTTTCTTTTGTTACCCCGCAGATGGATGGGCGCAGACATCCTCTGGTCCTTTGTCGCAGTCCCTTTCCCGACCGATGAATCCATCAAAAAACCTAGAACCGCCCGCGTTTGCATCGGAAATGCCGAAAAGCTGACGAGGCCTAAAGGGCAGCCGCGAGGTCTAAAGGGCAACCGCGAGGCTTAAACTGCAACCGCGATCCCACTTTTCTCGAAATCGAGCGAGTCGGAGAGCTGACCTACCTTTCGTGACGAGAGGAGGTGGAAGTAACCCCCCCGGGGCAGCCATCTTGACCTCGTGAAGATGGTCAGATAGATGTCGCTTCGTTTGTCAACATGGCGGCCCGCATGTAACCGCGCGTTACGAGGCCGTCCGGCCCCCTCCTTTGGATGTCTGAATTTAGCCGTGCCGTGGGAAGCAATTCTCCAGCAAACCACGAAGGAAGTGCATCCTTAATCGTCCCGAGGGAAAAGCTGACCGACGAAAGCGAATCGATCGCTGTCAACATGAAAAACGGAACAGTTAGGCCTAATGTCGGCAAGCCGGTTCGAAGCAGTTCCTTTCGGGCGTAAAGTCTCTTGCTCCCCCATCCAAGTGAGTTGCATGTCGATTTGATTCGAGTTTCAACATTCCTTCCCGTGCACATCGCTGTCATCCATGATCTCAATTAATAAATGTCGAGGACCTGATGGAACGTTGGTAGGGTTGCCACCAGGGCCGGATTAAGGTTATGAGGGGCCTAAGGTTAATGGGAGGGAAGGGCCCAAGCATATTGCAAAAACAATTAACAATTAGGGCCTAAAAATATGAGGGCCTAAGGTGGTCGGCAACTGGTGGCCCGAGGGCCAGATCAGGCCCGCGAAGTCCCGGATATCGGAAATTACGATCTGACGTTCAACTGCACGTTTGACATGTGACGTTCGATGCAATTTTCATTTTAATGACACTTGGTAGGCGCTGGCTCGCGAACTTTCAGCACTCTGCCATCCGGCCCGCCGTGAAATTTAGTTGCAGAACACTGGGGCTACTGAACAATGGGGGAGCTAAGCGGAAAGTTGGGGGGGCTAATTGGGGGCTAAGCGGAACGTTGGGGGGGCTAACTTCGCCTTGTCAGGTTGGGGCGGACGCATTTCGACCAGAGTTGGGGGGGCCTGAACCAAACTTGGGGGGG